CTGAACTAGGCCTAAGTACACTAAGCACAGCAACCTTCTTCCAGCCTCCTCCCAAGCATACCTCTGACTCTAGACACTTTTTGCTCCCTCTTTGGAGCATCTTTAGCAAAGTAAGTTTCTTACCTATTATCAAGGGTGGGATGTGTATTGCAGGTGTATCTTTTCTCCTGGGTTTTTTCTGTTCCAGTTCAGTGATCTGAGAGCCTGGACTCTCTCTCTGTGGCTTCTCGGTGATACCATACCTTTTCAGCAGGTTATCAGAAAAGTCTGAAAGTATGCCTGCAGGCAAAAAAAAAAAAAAAAAAAAAAGAGAAAATGCCACTTCAGCCTTGTTCACATGGAAGAAATTTCCACCTGTGTAACTTTCCCATTGACTATGACTACTCTGAAGTAAGGCTGTAGGAGTGCATGATCTGCTCTTCATGGTGTACCTACTCTTCAGATTTTGCAATGGTACACATTTCCTCCAAGTCAGTTATATCCCACAGGCTATAGACAGTGATGCTATGAGGCCAGCTGGCTTCTGGTTGTACTTGATGGACTAAACGGCAGCCCATCAGAAATCATGGTAAAGAGGAGTACAATTATGCCAGAAGCTATGACATCTTACCAAAGTAGCTTAATCATATGGATGCTCAAGCCTCTGCTTGGGAGCAATGTGACCACACAGAAATGGCCTATTTTAACTGGTGAAACAATAATTCTTTATGACATGGCTACCACAGGCACAAAATGCAGCTCTCCAGCCTCTGAGCCACTCTTCCCTAAGTAAGAATTGCTGAGGGAAAGATACATGTGAAAGCTAAACAGAGTCAAGTTCAATATCTGGATTACAAATACTGAAAAATCCCAGCTGCTTGGTTTTGACTTGGTGAATTTTTGCAGGTATGCATGGGACCATGCAAGTAGTTACTGGCTAACTCCTCTGCGTATGGTGCAGCATGGGAAGAAGACCTCAATGCAGTTGATACAAGAGCACAGCCCTCTCCCCAGAGAGCACAACAAGGTGTGCTTGTTAGCAGAAAGAAGTGACAAACGTTTATTCCCACTGCTGATCTTGGAAGAGAGTCAGGTTTCAGTGGCAGTCTCCTGCTCATTCTTCCCTTCCCCAGGTTGGTGGCATTTGGCTCTTGAACTACAGAGGTCTGGAGGTGTGCAGCAGCAGGGAGCATCCAACAAGGAGCCTCTTTGTTGCTGTAGTGGTTTCTGGCTTCCCAAAACAAATGCCCTTTGCCAGAATCCCCATAAGCACAGAGCCCTGGGATTTCTAGGAAGAGCAACCTGCAAACAGCTTGTGTGCTTCTCTGGTCTCCTCCCAGCCTTATCCCCATTCAGCCTCCCCCTGAGCACTGGGTAAGAGCTTCACAAGAAAGTGCAGAGGCTGAACTGGATCCTTTTTGATTTTGGACCAGATCAAATCAGGCTACCTAGCCTGGTTCAGCAGCTAGAGATAAATACACATCATTTCACACGTGAAGGCAGCAAGACTATGAGCTCCAAGGGAGCACATTTTCCTCACCTTGGTATTCCCAGTCCCTGTGAGAAAACACTTTGTCTAACAGGGAATGCCTTTGAGAAAGTCAGTCTCTCTGTTCGCCTGCCTTCCCAGGTGCACAAGGCATGGAGCCGTGTTCTTGCCCACCTCCAAGGAGACATAAGTGAATGAGGGGTCTCCGGACCTTTGCTCAGATTCAGTCCCCTCAGATGAATCAGGATTTTGAAGTCAAGAGATGTATTGCTAACCTGTTAGAGGTGGTGGGGTGTGCAAAGCCGGTGTATCTTTTCTCCTTGGCTTTTTTTGCTCCTGTTCAGTGTTTTGGGAAGCTGGGATGGTTTTACCTTTTCTTGGTTTCTTTTTGAGGTCACAGCTCTTAATCAGCTGCTCTGAAAGATCTTCTGCAGGGTTGTTAAAAAAAAAAGAAAAAAAGAAAAAAAAGAAAAATTGAAACTGAGGGGAAATAATAAACCAGATGGTGAAAAGAAAAGCTTTGATAAAACTGCTTTCATCCAAGTAAATTAAAATGTCTGTGGAGAAACATCTCTTAAATAGAAAGCCAGTACAAGAGTCCTCTGTGCCATACTACATGGAGGTCAAGTGACTGAGGTGGTCCTACTGTGTTGCAGGTGGCAGACATAAAGCAGAGGGAGAGAGCTGTGGGCGGCTGTGTGTTACGTGGCAGAGGGAAGGCTGCACTGTTGTGTGCAGAGGTCCCATGGCCATCCCTGTTTCATCCAGCACTAACTGGGCAGGGCTGTGTCTTCAAGAGTTACAAGGGCACTTTTGTGAAGGAAAGATTTATGTGGGGGGGGTCTGTCTGAGGTATTGGTAAACCAAGCCAGTATATTGTTCCCTTCAAGAGTTGGTTTTATTTCCAGAGCCACCAAGCAGTTGGTATTTGCTTTTGATATACATAACACTAGACTGAATTTTTGGTTTTCTTTTAAAACAAGCTTTGATTCAGATGGTCAGCATGGTTTTTCTGCAAGGATCTGCATTTCTGGGTGCTTATGAAAGCCAAAAATATTGAAGATAGTCTGTCATTAGTATCCTCATGCTAAGCAATGCTTTGATTTCTTAAAAGCTGCTTGTTTGGCTTCAGCTGGGTCCCCCACAACCCTACCCAAACCCTGACTGCAGACCTGGGTGCAAGGGGACTTCATTGCAGGCTCTCTCTCACTACTTGAGGCAGCTCTACGTCTGCAAGCCTGCGGGTAGATGTGGGAAGGACAACCTCCACGTGAAGTCCCTGGAAGATGTGGGGTCTTTTTCTGACCCTCACAGGCTTCCTGCACAGTCCTAATGAGCTCATTTAACCTCCCACTGCCTCAGTGTCCCAACTGTAGAATGGGATTCATTCTGTACTTATTTAAATAAGTAATTTTATGGAACAATTTTGTTTGTTATACAGTAGTTGTATAAGTGGTGTCTGTGGCAAAGGCAGAACTAGGATACCTTCCTTGCAGGCTAGATAAACAAAGTTTGTAAAATTGTGCTTGCCTGGGGTGATACACTTTTTTGACAAGCAAGTGAGATTGCATTTGTGTTTCATTATTGTTGTCACAAGGGTAACAACGACCAAATAGATTTTTGTTTCTGGGTTCCTAAATCTTCATGACAATTTTGCAAGATGGGAGTGAAGTAATGGTGTTTGAAGCAGAGGCAAAGACCATGAATATGCAAAAAGCACATCTATCAAGTATGAAGTCTGGTACTTAGGAGTGTAGCAGAGCAAAGATGCCTCTGGTACTCTCAGTGCAAAAGTTATGTATGAAATAGGTTCAAGAAAGGAAACAGATTGATGATGAAGGAGAAAAAGTATTTAGAAAGTCACCCCAGTGGAGGCAAAGGGGGTGTTTGAAATCTTTTACGGAAATTGCATCTGGAAAATGTGTTCAGGGAAGGCTCAGCTATATCCTAGCTTTCAGTTCATTGTGGTATAAATGAAGAAACTGCTCTGCTTTTTCTACCAGGGAAAAGAACAATGACTCTTTTTCCTTTCTCCTCTTTAATTAACTTTGCTCTAGAGCTTTGGCTGATATTTATATGCAGGAAAAATGCTCTTTGCCTTTCCATCTGGCATCAGAAGTGTCAGCAGAAGGTATAATCTATCGGGTTTCACGAGGGCTCGGTTGTGTTGCTGGAGGGGAAAAACGGACACTGGACAGGAGCTAATGATGTGAAGGCAACACCTCTCTAATTACTGCAATGACGTCATCTGATAACACTTACCTAAATGGCTACAGTGTGATTCTCGCTTGTCCAATCTGTCTTCTGGGATATCAAGTGGCTGAACACATTCTGTTGACATCATTGAAACGGGCTTTTCTCCCCCTTTGAAGGTACTACACCAAAAAAAAAAAAGAAAAAAGGCAGCAGCATGACATAAACCAGACATATTGGTGTTATGTATCCACTTGCTAGCCAGATCATGAGAAACTCCTGTCTTCCAGCTGCTCTGTCATGCAGTCTGCTGGCCTCATTTTGCTCATATACACTAAGAGGTACCTTTATTCACTGCCTTGGTTACACATGCAATATCCTGGTTTTCCACCTACCTTGCTGGAAGCAACCCACACTAGCATGGGAAATACATTGGCTTTACAGAAGAACACTGACTTTGATCATACAAAAAGTGCTATCACATACACAAAGCAAATTCTAGAAAATAGGCTGGTTTGTTCTGGTTTTCTTCTCAATTTTTTTTTTTCTCAACTGTAAACTAAGGATCATATTTGGCATTTAGTTTTACAAGTCCAGCTCCTCTAAGAGAGACTGGATAGACCTGAAGACCCAGGTGTGAGTGCTGCCTCTGAAAGATGGCCAGTGCCCACAGACCCCAAAGCCAGTGTGAAGAAGACTCACTCATTACCTTGGTAAGAGCATGGGAACTCGTTTTGCAAAGCTGTTTAAGCACCCGTGCTCTGTAGGTCTCCCTGGATTGCTCTTTTCGCCTGGTTTATCTCGCTTTACTCACAAGTGCAGGGGATCCTGGAGCCCAGCCGCCTACCTGAGCTCCCCCAGCATCCCACAAGCTGAGACTTGATCCTGGACTTGCTCACTCTGGGGCCACCTCAGATGCCCACACAGGAAGAAGGAAATTAAACCAGTTTTTACTGCTGATCATTTCTATGGTTGCTTAGCAGAAACCCATCAGAATGACAGAGCCATATTAAGGGAAAAAAACCTTCAATGTGAAGGTGCAGTCTGAGTGATCTGGGTATCTCCCTTCAGCCAGCAACAGCTGTGGTACTGTCTCACTCACAACCTCTGTTCTCCATTTTTGGGGAATAAGAGCAGCCTGTGATTTCCTGGTAGGGATGGGGAAGGCAACGAGAAGGAGACAACAGGAATAGTAGAAGAAAGGCAGGAGGAATTGGGAAAAAGTGGAGGAAGGAAGGGGAGGTGGAAAAGAAAAGGTAAATAAGAGAAAGGTAGAAGAAAAGGCAGTCAGAGAAAAACAGTGAAAAGGAGGATAGGAAAATAGGAGACTGTACTGTGGGAGTTTGTTTTTATCTTGCCAGAGGTAAAGAAATTACCTATATTATTTATCTGTAAATTGCAGTGGCTGTTTGTTAACAAGAAACAGAACAGTAGGGGAGTTAAACTCATTTCTGTGACTAAACTTGCATCTATATAAAAAGCAATTAATCCTCAAGCAAAATCCAGTCACATAAATATTTGCCAAACAAAATATGAAAGGTCGCACTCATAACCACGCACTGAGCTAATTCTTCAGGGGATGGAAAAACATGTCCTAAACTCCAGTGACTTCAAAGTAAGTGGAGCAACACTGGCTGACAGTAATAAAGGTCAGGAATGTTGACTCATAATGTACATATGGGATTAACTCCTGTACCCTTCAGCATTCAAAATTCACAAAAATTTGTGAAATTCTACAAATTCTTAAATACTTTACTGAATCAGGCCTGGATAAGGGGTTTGAGCTCTGGCTGTTCACTGCAGAACTGTCCCAGTCCAGCCTCACATCTGTACTAATGGGTTATACTACCTGGAGACTTCATTTGCATTTACAGAAAAAGTAATCTTCCGCTTGGGAAAACCCTGCATAAAGAAATCTTTGAATGCACCTTAGCATGGTATGGTTGCTCTGTTTATCCACTGTATAAATAAGCTATAGCTATGACTTAAAATGAAGCAGTCATGATTTTATTTAAAACAAAAACTATTTATCTGGCCATATGAAGGCTCACACTGCACTTTGTGATTTGAGGGAAGTTTCTTCCTCCGTGCCATTTGATTTTATCAGATTTGATTAGGGCCTGCTAGCTAAATATTATTAAAACATTATTTTCCGAAGGGTACTCTGTTTAGAAAGTATTCAGTAAAACCAGGGATACCATTTCAGACACAATGGACTTTTTTTGAATAGGTCTTGAGGCAAAAAAGCTGAGGATAGATAGTAAAATTCAAACGTAAAATTGGTTGCAAATTATACTGACTGGAAATGCCTTATAAAATATGATTATCTTTGGTTTGGTTTCACCAAGTTGTTTCATTGAGTTATTCCACCTATTAAAAATTAAGCTTTACCAATGTAGGATTGGTATATGCAGGTTATGAGATACTTCCTTAATTATTTTTTCTTAATACAGCAGTTTGAAAAACAGTATTCTAAAATAAATCTCACATTTTCATAGTCACAGATGCCAAGCCCTTGGCATCTTCAGTGCTTTAAAATAGGGTTTTACAGCTCGACACCCCCCCCCCCTTTTTTTTTTTTAAGCTTGCCCTGCAGCCAGCATTGCCTTGCTTACAAATGTGTTTCCACACCGCAGATTGTGACAGTCTGTATGAGAAAAGAATAAAACGCGAAAGATTACAGAAACGTATCATGAGTTTTGGTGTCTTGGGTGTATATACATTGCATACGGTGTGCAAACCTGTTAGTGCTGTTACATCCCATCCCTATGCATTACACGCAGAGCCCTCATTCAAAGAAGAGGTGATGTATGTGAGCATTGTAATGGTGCTTTCCCAAACCACTAAAATCAATTCCCGCCACTAAAGAAACAGATTCCCCAGTAATGTTTCGCACAGGAAGTAAGACTGTTATGGGGACTGTATGAAGTCATTAATACGCCTTCACAAATGGAGGCACGTTCTCAGATTTTCATGTGTTAAGTGCAACTCTTTTCCTAGCAGCCTTCATGCTAGCATGGTCTGCACTCTCTGCCGTCAGTCACCTTGGTAGGTAATGCTTGCTATTTACGTGATGGACTAAGGTGGAGTTTTTTCTTGCACTCTGTTATATCTCTTGACATAATGATCCACATTTCATCCTTTGTGCAAATGTAACGTTACAGTGGAGCTCTAAATCACACTCAGCAGGAGACACTTCCTGAAACACATATAGATTTTTCCATATGAATTAGGATTCAATAGTCATTTAGCCTGAGACTTTGGTACAATGCAGCTAGGCTGTACCACCCCCCTACAGAGATATGCACCTAAAGGAGTCACCTCGAGTCTCATACTTTTGGGAAAAGACAGAGCTGACAGACACTTTAAATGCTTCCCTAAAGGTCGAGGCAAGTTCTTGTTTTGCCAAGATAGTTTTGCATTTGCTGCTCTTAAAAACATTCAGCATTCAATAGGATTGGCTCTACTTACAGACAGAGAAGAGCAAGGAATGGTAAGGCAAACTGAAAAGTGCAGGTATGAGTAAAAGCTACTTCAGCCTCATGTGGATGAGATCTCATGCTGAGCAACTATCAATAACAGCAGGACTCCTTTGCGCATACACACTTCTAAGAGATGGTGCTTCAGATTAATAAAGTTCAGACAAATATCTGAACTTTTCACTTTCTAGATTATCACCTTTGGATTTCTACGTAGCTTAAAGCACAGTGAACTTTTTTTCAGAATTCTCAGTTGCTGTATATGCTTGATTAGAGTGCCCAAATAAAGCTGTCCAGAGAAAGGAGATGTACAGCTCCTACCACTCACTAACCTAGTCTTAAAACACACAAATGCATGCAAATAATAGATTGTTTTCTTTGCTTAAGTTGTGGGTCTCCATCAAAAGGTCCACCAATGCAACCAGTGCCAGGCTTCCAGTAGGTAAAAATATTTTGCCTCAAGATGGACAAAGAAACCAGTTTTCGTTCACTATTTAAATGCACAGTTGACAATGTAATTGTCACAAGTGATCAGGCTAGAGCATAGGGAATATTCAGCAAAGCTACTCTCACATATTTCTACCAAAATTATGTAAATCTTTTGAGGCCATATGATCATGCAGCATTTAGACCAACTTGAAATGAAATCTCATGAGAAAAATCTACCTTGTAAGATAGAAAACTAAAGCTTTAAGAACAAAACTAAAGAAAGAGCTGGACTTCTTTCTTTTGATCCTGAACTAGGCACAGAAATGTCTTTGGATAGGAGAAGGTTAAATCTCCATGTCTTTTCTTCTTGTAGGATTTGAATGGTTGTAGGTACTATGCAGCTACATGGAAATTAGGTATCTATGGATATTTGTACCCACTCTCAAATGAGTCCTCAGCAGGCAATTCTTCTAGATAAGATGGAGGAATGAATTTCTGACCTGCAATTCCTATCAAAGTTTACAGGGGCTAAGTGGGCATCGATGTCAACAGTCCTTACCACTGTACATTAAGGGCGTGACTTGTCACACCTGCATGTCATTTCCTGTGTGTTGAATACTTAAGAATTTCTGAACTGACTCTTTGTAAGGGCTCCACAAACTGTGCTTCTGAGGACTTCAGTTTAGTAGACCACGTGGTATTGCCCACAAGTATGTGAATTTTTCCGGTAGGGTTTTTTGTTGGGTTTTTTTTGTTGTTGTTGTTGTTCAGGGGAATGTTTAGTTTCCACAACTGACAAAATCCCCTAGAAAAAAACATGCACTAGTTTGCAGGACGTGCATAATCATGAAAGAAACTACTGGCATGTTGAAAAAGACGCTACATAAATAAAAGTACTCTTGAGAGCATCCTTGTTGGGTGGGAGCAGGCAGTCTGAATTTAAGTAGTATTTATTTTGGTAGATTGATAATAATGTTGCCACAGAAGCCTGCACAACACTATGTACCTCTTTTCTGCTGGACCCAGAGCACTCTGTAAGAACATATTTTTGCCATGAGCTGAGGGAAGGAGAGTTTAAGAGAAACAGAGGCAACCGGGGCCCTGGGATGAGACAGCATGCTCACATGCTTGTCCACATTCCCGTAGGCAGGGCCTGGCCTTGCTGATGATGCACTTGACAGTTGGAAATGGGAACAAGTGGGAGTACCTTACAATGTCGTGCCCCACGCAGACACAAGGCAAAGGTTGGGCTGCAACAGCTACAGTCC